AGATAGTTGTATAATTCGAGGCGATTCGAGAGTTGTGCGACTCGGCGCGACCGCTAACGATTCGACAAGAGTAATGCGATACGCCACGTTCCACTAGCACGAATTAACATATAAATTATATTGGTCATATTAAAAAGAAACTTAAGCCTTGTTTAGATCAATAGGGCTGTTAAATTGATTATAATAATCGCTTGCTTTAAATGCGAGGTTTTCTGTTTGTAGAATCTACACTATTGTTTTAATTTGACGCACAGTTTGCAATAAACGCGGATCATATTTCCCGAGGCATTATCTACCAGTATCTTGGCCCATAGTTTAAGCAGTAGGTCTGTTAGTGTTTTAGTTTTAGTTAGTTAATGTTTTTATTTCGGAATGAACTATACAATTTATTAGGGTTTAACTGAATATCATTATTTTTCCTATTCGTTTCACTCTTTTCATAATAGCGCCACGCGTTTTGCCATCTGTTTATTCACTATCATTCTACTACATTCATGAACTGAATCCACCATATTATACATTATTATATCACTCTAAATAATTCTCTTTTGTTTTTTGGATTGAATGTTTGTGTGCTGCTAGCTCCTTCCAATGCTTCCGATATCCTTCCTCAGATCTGTGAATAACTTAACTCAATACGACATCGGGTACCATTTTGATAAGAGTATATATATACCGATACCTACATAACTTCTTTCTCGTAATTTCTATCTTGAAGTTTGATGGTAGCTGAGGGGTGGGGCATATTCTCAGACCGCAACGATTGATAACATAGTCCTGCCCGTTTCTACCGCGCAGCTATTACTCTAAAGAACGCGGTAGTAATTTTTTTTTTTGTTGCTTAGATGTGTGGACGAGCCCATAGACATCTTCAAGGTAAATACGCCACACACCTTGAGATATAGTTCTGAGGTCTCAGTATAGTCACAACGGCTGCCCCACCCTTCAACCGAACGCATTACTGCTTCACAGCAGAAATAGGCGGGGCGGTGGTACCTACCCGTGCGGACTCACAAGAGGTCCTACCATCAGTAATTAATTACGCAAAGTAACGCAAAGTAATTACGCAAATTATAATTTTGCGGGTTTGATTCTTATTGCACGATGTTATTCCTTCACCGTGGAAGTCAATCGAACATTTGTTAAGTACGTATTTCATTAGAAAAATTGGTACCCGCCTGCGGGATTCGAGCACCGGTGCATCGCTCTATACGAATGCACCGGACGTCTAATCCCTTAGGCCACGACGACTTCAAATTTTATTTTTTATTAGAGCCATACCTACACCTATTAGGTGAAGTCGGCTCTATACATCCTTAAAAACGACAAAAAATGTGATGCCTGTGGTTTCCAGTAACTTGTTAACATCAAATGATTTCTTAGTTAATCTACCAATCTATGTACGTCTATGAAAAAGTAATAAGTCTACAATATTTAATTCTGTTAATATAGTCTAAATTATATACCTAATACAGTTTACTTTAACATTAAAAAGTTATCGTTCCTTTTCGATACGTAGTTAATGAAAGAAAATTGTCAAGCGGCGGTCAACGGAGCCAAAGCACGTACGCGACAGCGAAGCCTTCCGGTCATTACTGCAGTACAGTACAAAATACCTATATCCGCCGTCTTCAACGGCCTTTGTATACACCTATACTGTGCCCAATGGAATTAAGTTTTTCATATATTAAACAAGTAAATTGCCGCTTCATTATATCAACAAAGTCCATTGACAGCACAAAATAAATTACAACGCCTCAGGTTCAAGCTTACTTTTAAAATCCGAGTGCCTAAAAGATAGGGCTGTAGTACCAATCCGCACGCGAATTACCGTAGGCCGTATCTTAGATAATAATCTGACGAACGGGTAGTGTGAACAGTTGTATTTGTTAGGCCGCTATGAGTCGAGATCAGACTTCCTCTTCTGATGAATAGTTACGAATTTTATTCGCCGAACACGTAAAGTCCTCTAGCCACTGCTGCGTGATTAAAATTAAAAATACATTTTAAAAAACGAAAGAAAATTCTTAGGATAGTGGTCGGAGCAGCCAACGCACGTACGAGACAGCTTTGAAGCGAGCCTTTCATTACCGCGGCGCAGCGCCGAATTTTAAGTCTTCGATCTTTAGTCACCTTAATAATTTTTTTAATAGAAATTAATCATTGCTAGATAATTATATAGGGTATGTCAATACATACAATAAAATAGTATAATAGAATCCTTGTATTAAAGTAGTCATAAAATTGGTGATTTCTGTACAATTAGTCACAGTAAAGTGCGACCTGGTTTACTACATATTCATCAACTAGCTTTTGCCCGCGACTCCGTCCGCGTGGAATAGTTACTTTGGCATAACGCAAAATTTTACATCCACGTAGAAAGTGAAAATACATTTGAATTATAGAATGTTAAGGAGCTATTTAAGCCCTCTATTTTGAAACATTATTTATTGGTGCTCCGCTTGAATTGGTCTAAGCGTGATGTTATATAGCCCTCCTCAATAAATGGGCTATCTAACACTGAAAGAATTTTTCAAATCGGACCAGTGGTTCCTGAGATTAGCGCGTCCAAACAAACAAACTCTTCAGCTGTATAATATTATTAAATATAAATAATTTAGGTAAGTGAATATTTCGACATCTCCATGAAAAAGTTAAAAATGATGAAATGACTACTAGATATTTTTAATACGTTATTTATATTTACGGCCTACAAAAATCTAATATCTATATGCTAATAATAATTAATACAAACGAAAGAATTAAAGTATATTAGATTTACATAATTTTATGTAACTCGCTCCGACTATAGAGACTTTTATCAAGCTATGTGGCGAACACGGTGGCTACACTAACATAATTCCGACGTTCTGCCGCCGTCCTTTCGCAAGAACAAGCCACTTCTGTTTATTTTACCGCAATGAATTTCTTTGCAATATTTTCTTCATTTTTAATTTTGAATACATTTGAGTACAATTCTCGGCGGTGGTTCTGCGCCCCCGGCAATCTCCAAATTGCCTCTTTATGTGCAGATGTTCCGACCCTCGGTTTTTCCGTCTTTTGAATGTCGTTTTGCTGTTAAATAACGTGCTCTTTTATTGTAATTTGGTCTTGTGAGTTCATTTTATGCGACTTTAAGATTGTCAATGTCATCATTAGTTAGAGTTGTCCTCAAAGTATACATTCATGATATATTATATACATTCAAAGTATACACACATTCTTCAAAGACATGAAATACGTTCATAATATATTCATAAAATATATAAAATTGCTTAATGACAATATTATATCATAAAATGAAAAAGCGATCAAAGTGTTAGAATAATATTACATTATGTAGAAACATTCGCAATTCACCATCTCTTAAGGTTGCAGAACTATTAACTAAGATATATAAAAACTATATGATAAATAAATAATGTTTACTGTCTTCGCACAGATCAAGTAGTAGATAATTATTTATCTTTTTTTTTCTTTATAAATAACGTTAAAATATATTTTATTGTTAAAATATCTAAACAAACGCCATAAGCCAAGACCAGGTGGGCGGTGAAATCATTTACGCACATTTTATATGTATTAATAATACTAAAAACAATCACTTCTTTTACAAATCATGATTTAATAAAAGTCCTTCGCAATTGTTTCTTTGAGATTAAGAAAATAAATACAAAGCGCCCCGGTTTCCAGACGTGCAATTCCAAATACAGTATATTTATTGAAAGCGTAATCTTGGTTTATTACTGGAGATGATATCTTTTTTCATTTTTTGTTAAAAAATTATTACGGTTGAAACAAATTAATTCCGTAAATATTATGCTTACTTCTTTCAAAATTCGTATAAATTTGAAGGCGGATTTACAAATAGACGGGCCTAAGGGCCTGCGGCTGGAGCCAAATTACATCTTTATTCTCAAGTACCTAAACATTTTCTTCTCTGAAGAAAGACGAGTATACTTCTAAGCTTTTTCTGTAAATGTGAAATTAATATTTTCTTGGTAATATTGAAGCGAACTGGATGTTTATTATATTATAACATCAACTAGACTTTTTGCTTGTCACTATTAACAAGTGTCATGAACTGTAACAGAAGTTGTTCTACACGTGTCGGTGAAAAAGCAACCGTGTGACGTATGACCTCACTTTTCGGCTAGCGCTGCTTCTGGCACAATAGTGTATTCCGGGAACGAGTTGCCGTCTACGTCTAGGTGAGCTTCAGATAGCCTGCCGATGGCAGGGATAGCAGACATAGCCTCGACAACCGCCGGTTCGATGTTAGTGGAGGGTGGGTGGTGGGGAGACATGCGCTCGCCGCGAAATACGTCGTCTTGCTCATAGCCTGCCCCGGATGAGTTTTACCTCATGTATAGTATACTACTACATATAAATAATAGTTTAAAAAATTAAAAAAGTACGCGTTTATAGAAAGTCCAACTAAAAATTATAAAATAAATTTTAATAAATTTGGATTAAAAATAGTGTAAGAAAAAATTAAAAAATATTTTCTATTTTTGAGTTTGATTTTCTATAAAAGCGTATTTTTTTAGTTTTTTTAAACTATTCTTTATTTTTCATTTCTTAGTTGAATTCCAGTATTATATATTTTTTCAATTTTTCAAAAATTTCGTCTGAATCTGTCCCCAACTTTTCCGAGAAATGTGATCGGTGATCGGCGCGCCTGGTAGTTTCCCTTCTTGGTCTTGACGCAGACACTCCGGGTTTCAAGAAAACAAAAAATCACTAATCCTGATTATCCTAGTAAGGAAAACGGATCAAATTGCTTAATATATTTAATTGTCATCGGTCCATAATAAGTATGCCAAATTTCGAGTTAATCCGACGTTTTGAAGGGGGTCAAAATCATGTTCAAAGATTCCGGTACATACTAACATACATACTAACATACATATGAAGCTAATAAAAGCGTATTAATAAGTTTCTTACTTCTAAAGAATTGTAATGTTAAAATAATTGAAATTAAATAAAAAAAATTAGGAATCTTTTAGGGACAAAATTCATTTATTATTAACAAGCCGCACTTAATTTAAATAAAGCGTATTAAATAAGTTAGTTAAATGTATTTTCACTCCACTTCAAGCTTCGTTTAAAACAAAAAATAAAACTGGAAAAAAAAGAACATTTTTTTAAACCTGCTGATTTATCGAGTTGAAAACGAAGTCATTCGAAGCAAAAAATATTATAGTTGTTGATATTTTCATTGGCTTAACCCTTTGAGCGCAAATCGTCGATATATAGACTCTCTCTCTATTAATGCGTATAAAGTGTGGAGCGTCTGAATACCGACTATTACTCAGTTTAATACCTATAGTATTAATTATCGACTTGTCTTAGCGCGCGCGGACGTATACCGTTTTAATAAGTTAATAATATTTATAAATAACCATTTAAAATTATTTTGCTATGAAGTTAGCATTAATTTATGTATTTTTTTAAGTTTAAGTTTTCGGATAACGTACTTTTTTCAAAAATCCTTGGGCAATTTTTACAAAATATGTGAAAATAAGTTCAGCATCAAAAGGGTTAAGCCAGTAGATTGGACACGAGACTGAGCGACGCACATTACTGTGCCACTGACCGACATCAGTGATTACAGATCAGACGAAAAGGTCTCAGACTGGTGCGTCACGCTCAGAAATGCGCCAACGATTGGAGGAGGAAGAAACCAGCAAATATTAATCCATTATCATCCATCCAAGTTAAGGTATAAGAAAAGAAATAGGCAGGACAGCAATCCGTGCGAGCTCACAACGTGAGTAACCAGGTGAAAAAGATAAGAAAATCATGTCAGGATATTAAGATTATATATTATATTGGTAAGAGGGGAGTGAGCGAAGAAATGGTATATCATAGAAGAGTATGGAAGGTGAAAACATGTTGCGTCGACCCCAGGTAACTGGGAGAAGGGCAGGATAATTATGATGATAATTAAGATTATATGTAGAAGTGCTACACTATAATCGGTATACAGATAAATAACAGGAATAGCTCTAGTAGGAAGGTATCAGATACCAATATTAATTTAAGAGCACGATATCATCATAGAAGATACTCTGTTTTTTTTTTTGCTACAATATCATCGTTTTTTATTTGATTTCAAAAACAAAGAATCTGAACCCTAAATAATGTATAAAAAAATTGAAAACAATATTATCTTAAAAACAATATCCAGAATTCACTTTTCGCGTACATTTAGTATTGTAACAATACTTACATCGGGATCCTTTTCATACGAACATTTATGAACCTCAAAGGCCCTCTCGCATTTGTCTTTGTCCGGTGTATCTAAAACAATAATGTAAGAGTATTAATAATGCTCTCTCTAAATAGAAGAAAAGGTCTTCAGTGAATACTCAAGTAGCTAGTTATCCGACGTAAGGGGAAGAAAAGAAAGAGGAAAAGGAATTTTAGGACAGTCACATAGGATATTAGATCTCATCGTCTTGTTCGTGACGAAACGTATAAGATTTAGATATACATACATATATCAGTGGAAGAAATATCTGTGTAAAGTCCTTTGGGGTCTAATAAGTATACAGTATTCACGCTGTGTCTTCCAGCACATACCCTGGGTTGGTGGGGCGGCTCGAGTATAATATGCGATAGAGCTTAGTCACTCGTTGCATAGCGTTAACAAATAAAAACGAAAACTAAATATATTGCAAATATATTATTAGACGTTGCAAATATATATTACTTTCTTCTATAAAATTCAATAAAATTGTTTTAAACTACCGAGTTCTTTGCAGGAGAAAATCATTTTAGTTGCTCTGTCGAAATATTCTTCGGGAATGAGGCTTGTGAACATTTCATAATCAACAGTACCGTCATCATTTACCTGTAAAACGTTAAAATGTCGGTAACGTACACTGCTAGTACTATAAAATTATCCAAAACCTTTTAATTGTAAATCTAATCGCGTTAAAAATCGCGCGTTTTGAGTCCGTGCGGGTAGGTACCACCACCCTGCGTATTTCTGCCGTGAAGCAGTAATGCGTTTTAGTTTGAAGGGTGGGGCAGTCGTTGTAACTATACTTGAGACATGAGAACTAATATCTCAAGGTGGGTGACGCATTTACGTTGTAGATGTCATGGGCTTCAGTAAGCACTTAACACCAGGTGAGCTGTGAGCTCGTCCACCCAACTAAGCAATAAAAAAAAATAAAAAATGTACTAACTTGAGATACTTGAAATCAATCTTTTTTTTTCAAACCAGCACAGACGGCAATGTGCATTACTTGGGTAAACACAAATAGCTGTCTCCGCAATATTGACTAAAACCTCACTTCTACGGGATTCGAATAAAAATGAACATAAACAAATGAAAATAGAAGGGAGCGCATGCGAACGTATTGAATTAAAAACAAATTAAATGTTTGTTTGTGTCTAATTTCGTATAGCGGCGAGGGTGAAGAGAGAAACAAACAAAACACGAAAACTCACAAGGCCCGCTTCCTCCAGCAGGCAGAACATATAGCACTTCAATTTCACGTCCTCCTTAAATATGCCACTTTCACAATTCGTTATGTCCTCTGGGGACAAACAATGACTTTTAATCTATCTATGTATACAAAAATGAATTGCTGTTCGTTAATCTCGCTAAAACTCGAGAACGGCTGGACCGATTTGGCTAATTTTGGTATTGAATTGTTTGTGGAAGTCCAGAGAAGGTTTAAAAGGTAGATAAATTAATGAAAATGTTCAGAATTAAATAAAAATAACAATTTTGTTTTTCCTTTGATTTGTCTCCCGTCGGACGGATTCCTTTTGTTTGTTTTAAGTTTATTTTATACAAAAGTTTAGGTCTTTTATTTATCGATTGAGGCACTACGAAGTCTGCTGGGTCAACTAGTATAAGATAAATTACAACAAGTATATTAAATACATATTTCAAATAACCATAAACATGTGAAAACTGAAAAAAAATTGATTTGCCTACGTAATGAAAACCGACGCTCTGTTTGCTTGACTATTTCGGAATCCTGTAAACTGGTTCAATACCCACTTACGTATACGAATAATTTTATAAAACTGAATGGTAAAAATGCATGTTATAGTATAGAACTAAATGTAACGAAAACAATGCAAAGAAAATATGTATGAACATGATATTATGTTATGTTATTATTTGTGAGTGCGATTGTCGTGAGCTTAGCCGTCGATTGTATAGCGTCACCCGCATACTTACTTCTACAAAGGAGAAATGAATTCTTTCTTTTGACAACTCACCCTCTGAGACGCCGGTTTTACCGACACACTCGTCGTGTACCGTTTGTATTATTTCTTTGATTTCTTCACTAAGCACCTGAAACAATTTGCGCAGTGTAGCCAATCTTATTCTCTGTCGATGTATTTAAGAAAATGGCTATGAAATGGAAAGTTGTTCGATACTATACATATCAGAGATATTCGTTATTGTTTTCCAGTGAATAAAATAGTTTCGTTTTCCGAAACCATTATGTTTATACAGGTAGATACCGATTAGCTCTTCAAATTTTTGTTCATCACTCATTTACTTATGGATACACAAGTACACTTTCCAAATGGCCTGGCGAAATAGTCGGTTTTAAATGGTAGATCTCCTAATACATTAAATGAAAACTACGTAAAGGATAGTCTGAAAGATAAAACGTCCAGTAAGTACACTGGTTGCGAATGTGATGATGTTCAATTCCCGCAGACAGATACCACCTTTTTTAATAATACACACTTGTCCATGAACGATTTCTGCGGTGAAGAAATAATTTCTTTTAAGAAATATTAAAACCAAAAAATTTATATAATTTTCGTAAGGCAGGCAGTGTGGTATCTGCCTCAAGTATTTCATGCGTATGATCGGTGGAATAATACAGTAAATATAATTGAGTGGCTTACTGCATCCCCATTCTTTTTTTATTGCCTTTCTAGTCAGATGAGCATACGGCCCACCTGATGGCAAGTGGTAACCGTCGCCCATGGACGTCAGCAAAGCCAGGGGCAGAGTCAAGCCGCTGTCTATCATTGTATACACATGATGTAGTGATGACTATGGTCTCATCGCGTGACATGTCACGTTTCCAGTAGTTATGCACTTAACATCAAATGGACCGCTCATTTACGCATCAATGCAAAGAATACGAAACGTGAAAAATATGAAGAAAAAATTATTATACTAAGATCTAACTATGAAATTTAATTTCACATTCATTCGCGTTAAACCTACTTACTTAATGGATAAATTTAATCTCATAATAGAATAATCAAAGTTTAATAATTTATTTTAAAAGCTGTTCTATACAAACATAATTTTACGTGAACTTTCAAGAATGTTTCTCAATCGAAATGTACATACTTCAAAGGTGCTCAATTCTATGTAGTACTTTGTTGTACTTCGAATGCGGTGCCTTTGTGAGCGTTACCGTTGGGAAAATAAGATGTTTCAATATTAAAAATGAGATAACGTTCTCAAAGAAAGTATTAAGTCATGATTCCACTGGGACCAGCCCGGTACGCATCAACTTGTATCATAAAGTTAAATATTAATTTAAACGACGAGAGTTCGTGCCCATTGTCCCCAATTATTTTACTTTGCAATAGTTTGGAAAAGCTGTTTAATTACTCATTCAAAAGCAGTTCGAATTTTAAAAATAAATATTTTTATTTTCACAAAAGTTTAGAGAATAAACACAAATAAATCAGTGGATAATAATAGGTAATTTACTCACCGTTTCGTGAATATACCTAGTCAGGTCATAAATTCTGTCACATGTTTAATGTAAAATAATTGAAACAAGTTTATTCATTATATAACCATTCATATACCAAAATGAACTTAACAAAACATAGATTCTTGTGACACTAAAGTTTATTCAAAATGACCTCCGTGATTTTGAATACAGGCCTTCAATCTGCGCGGTCAGTCGTCTATCGCAGCACAAACGAGGTCCATGTCAATATCGGCGGCTGCCTTAATCAAGGATGTCTTGAGTGACTCCAAATTGGGATGAGGCTTTGAGCACGCCTTTTCCTCCAAGTGTTGCCATATCTTGTAATCTAACGGATTCAAATCTGGACTGGAGGAGGGCCAGTCTTCGTGCCAGATGAAGTCGATTTAACGCGCCGCCAGCCAGTCTTGTGTGCTCTTCGCTCTATGAGCTGGCGCCGAATCTTGTTGGAATACCCAGTGCCTGTTATTGAACATGGTATGAAAAACAGGTTCCACAAGGTTCGTCAGGACTGTATTTTGATACACAACTGCATTCGTTTTTACACCATTCTCACAAAAATGTACCTCTGTTAAGCCCCAATAAGAAACTCCCAACCATACCATGAGCGAGGATGGAAAATGACCTCGTTGGACACGCGGAATACTTCGCTGGAACTGGAATAATACGCTTCTTCACTACTGTGTGCGTACACCTTATCATTTTGTTTGTTGTAGCTCTCTTCTACGGTAAAAAATTTTTCATCCGAAAAAATAATTTCCCGATATTTTTTTCCCGCGTACCGCTTCAACAAAGCGCGGCATCTCTTCAGTCTCAGGTCCACTAAACGAGCATTCAAACGATGTCCTGTTTTTCTTCGATATGCCCGAAGCCCTAAGTCTTCATTTAACACCCTTTTCACCGTGGTTCTGCTTAATCCCATCTGAAGGGCCAACAGTTTCTGCTTACGTTTGGGATTTCTTTGAATTCGCGCCTTCACAGCTTTTATCACTGCTGGAGTCCTAACAGACCGAGGGCGGCCACTTCTTGACCTGTCATGTACACTAGAGTCTTCATTGTATCGTTTGATGGTACGATAAACGAATCTTTTGGTTATATTCAAACTTTTCAGAATTTTAAAAATTTGGATTGGCACGTAACCGCAACGATGCAACGCAATAACTGCAACACGGTCTTCTTTAAGCGTCTACTCCATATTTAAAAATGAATAAAATTCTAAAAGTATACATTTTTATTTTCATGAACAATTCGAAATTCGAATTCAATAAACTTTTTTGTGGCCAGCATTCTAAAAGAAAAGTTTTTACTGTGTGACTATTGTCACTTATGACCTGACTAGTTAGTAGGCACTACAGAAAAAGTTGCTCTCATTATTTCCCAAAGCAAGAGGAAAATCTCCTACCGAGCTTATGTTATTGGTCGGTAGACCGATTTTGCCCAAGCGCTGTAGTAGAAATTATATGCACATGCAATATTGCTCGAGATTTATTCTAAGCGCTATCAAGGATTTCGTCAAACAATTGGAGAGGCTTCGCTACCTTTGCAATATTTGTAACATCCTGGCTACATCAGTACAGAATCTGTGCCTTCAGATTTAAAGGCCTCATTACCTACCTAGCCTTTATGCTAATGAAACAGATTTCATCTTCGTTAATTAAAATGAAGGTGAGTAGTCCTAGAATTTATTCTACGGTCTACTATTTAGTCTACCGAGTATACGGGAACTGATTGGAACTCAACGAAGACGAATGTTTATGATTTCTAAGGTGATCATATTGTTACGCGCTGGGGTTCAGGATAAATAAAATTCCACCAAAGTACAATTAAAAACTGTATTCAACACTCAGAACATTCAAAACACTTCACGCTTTAAAATTCTCAATTCGCTTCTTCCGCTTCGCTTCAGGTTATCCGTTCGCTGTTTCGTTTCGAGTAGTTCGATTACTAACTGACTGCGTGCCATCTCTGCAGCGCTTTTATAGCCGATACCACATCCTAGAATTATCGAGAATATTCCACACATCTCTAGTATTGTGCTTCCGCTATCTGACAATAGATGGCGTTGTACTTCTCGAGCGTTCTGGGTGCTACTAGGTCCTTCGATATTCGTTCGACTATTCGGCGATAGATGGCGTTACTTTTAGTGGCGTAACAATATAAACTTTTTATGTCTGTTTTTTTTTTCCATGCATGTAGTAATTTAAAAAACATCGACCATAATAGAGTACGGCTTTTGAAAATTTAACACTTTCAGCATAAAATAAATATTCTATTTTCTGTGATTCAGTCATTCTTTTCCTTTTTTTGTATTCCGTGGCACATACAAGGCGTGTTCAAAAACTGTAATACAAAGTCGTGTTTCAATGGAGATACGAATGTAAACAGAAGATACACATTGCATTAAGTATTCGTAGACGACGTTGAGAAATATGGCGACTGCGTGCGTTCCGCGACGACACTCATCCGTCAAACGTCGCGTCATTCTCCACACTAAAACACTTCTTAAACTACACCGACCAGGTGACAAATTGACGCCACTTTATGTGAGCATTCGTCGTAAACAAAGCTGTTAGGAACTTTTCTGTGCACGCCGATTCAATTAGTAAAGTCTTTTTTTTTTAGTGGCAAATAGATGCGAAACATACTCGCGAACTGCCTAATAGCAAAGGCATAAGGTCTCCTTCTTAACTTAGTGTAAAATTGCTGAACCACAATTCACACAATTCATACCGAGCGGCATGACTGCGGTTGAGATGGAAATAGTGGGATCTAACTTACCGCCACCTTTACGCAAATTTTGACTTTTATTTTCTTTCACACAATATTATTCTTCTATCAGTTATTCGGTGATTTTGCAATGTTTATCTATGTATTTATTTAAATAGTTTTATATAGTTAAAGCCTATGAGTAGGAGTCGTATAGCAACCTATCCAGGTATTTATTTAGCACTCAAATAAGGTAAGTAAAAATCTCATGTTTATACAGGGTGCTCCAGAACTCAACGTCAAAAAAAATCCAGGTGATTTAAAGTCGCCTTTCAAAGTCGTCAAATTTTGAAAATTTTAGATTCAATGAATAAACTTGTTTCAATTATTTTACATTAAACATGTGACTGGAGTCCTAACAGACCGAGGGCGACCACTTCTTGACCTGTCATCTATACTAGAGTCTTCATTGTATCGTTTGATGGTACGATAAACGAATCTTTTGGTTATATTCAAATTTTTCAGTATGTTAAAAATTTGAATTGGCGCGTAACCGCAACGATGCAACGCAATAACTGCAACACGGTCTTCTTTAAGCGTCCACTCCATATTTAAAAATGAGTAAAATTCTAAAAGTATACATTTTTATTTTCATGAACAATTCGAAATTCGAATTCAATAAACTTTTTTGTGGCCAGCATTCTAAAAGAAAAGTTTTTACTGTGTGACAATACTTATGACCTGACTAGTTATATATTTTTTCTCATGATGGTTGCAATCAATCCTGTCACCCCGTTTCGGCTTGACGTTGAGTTCTGGGACACCCTGTATAGTTATATAATACATAGAATCCTAGATTAGGTCACCAGGACCAAATGTGATTTGTGCCAATGCATTTATTTTAGAATCATGGTTATTACAAGACTAGCTTTATTCGATGATTCATAAAAAATCAAATTCGTCTCCAAAACAAAGGTAGATATTTGTGAAATGTTGTATTTGTAGATAGTTTTTGTTAAAATAAATTTTGTTGTACATATTAAAATGGCTTTGGCGGTGTATAAAATGTTTCACTAAATAACTATAGTTCATTGCTATCTGATTAGTTTAAAAAGAAGAGAGACCAAATAACGTGATCCTGGGAGAGAGGGTTCCGACTATGACAATATTGTTATAGACTGCTCGTGGCTCCGGGACATCAGGCGCTTCTCAATTGCCATTTCAAGATAAGATATCGTTAATACATATACATATTCTGAATCCGGAACCTGAAGCAGAAGTTTCAATAGTGTATTGTAATAATACGTATGGCCTACTTACAAAACGGAAGACACGTTATGTTTCGCTAAAAATGTCGGTAAAACTGTGGTACCTATATGTGCGGTATTATGAAACTTTTCTTTTTCCTACCTTTGCTGATAGCCTTGAGAGGCTATTTCAGCTTCACCCTAACGTGTGTAGGTGAGCTCATGGGGCTCAAACCGGAGTGTTGCTAACACTGACCCTAGCAAGAACAGTGCTTCGCAGAATCTACCACCGAATCGGAAACGCGACCCACTGAGAAGATCGGGCGAGAAACTCAGTGGGCTGTGTCTGTGGGTTAATTCGCTCGTCGAGCCGTTCGTCGCATGCGACAGGTTCGACGAGGACGGTGACCGGAGCTATGAAACGACCTAATATGATATAATGGAACGGNGTGTTGCTAACACTGACCCTAGCAAGAACAGTGCTTCGCAGAATCTACCACCGAATCGGAAACGCGACCCACTGAGAAGATCGGGCGAGAAACTCAGTGGGCTGTGTCTGTGGGTTAATTCGCTCGTCGAGCCGTTCGTCGCATGCGACAGGTTCGACGAGGACGGTGACCGGAGCTATGAAACGACCTAATATGATATAATGGAACGGCCACATTAATGAGTGTGGTGTCACTCGTACTAATCGATCTTTTTTTTTTCTATGTTTAAAAATTAATAGTGGCATCGGCCTATTTCTACCGTGAAGCAATAATGCGTTTCGATTTAAAGGGTGGGACAGCCGTTGTAACTATACTTGAGACCTTAGAACTTATATCTCAAGGTGGGTGGCGCATTTACGTTGTAGATGTCTATGGGCTCCAGTAACCACTTAACACCAGGTGGGCTATGAGCTCGTCCACCCATCTAAGCAATAAAAAGAAAATGTGACTTTTTTTAATTTGCCGTCACCCCTCTCTGAAATGAGATTGAAGTCGACTTATTTTTTACCCTTCAAATTGCAATGTTTAATTACTTGCCGAAAAAAAAGAATACTGGTCCAAGAACACTAAACATTACGGGTATCAACCTATGCGGTCTCACCGCCATTTTAGTCACAAAATTGTCAAGTATCCAATTTATCGAAAAGCATAAAATGTATGTAAAGGCGGCATTAAGCGATATCGCTTCTAAGTACAATATAATATAATTTAAAAGCCATCATGGCTTAAAGGATAAGACGTTTGGTCAAGCGATGCATCGTTAATAATTTGCGTAGTTACTGGGATAGGACGTCTTGTGAGTCCACACGGGTAGGTAGCACCACTCGCCTATTTCTGTCGTGATGGAGTAATCCGTGTCGGTTTGAAGGAAGGGCAGCCGTTGTACTATAAAAACTGAGACCTTAAAAATCTTGTGTCAAAGTGGGTGACGGCATTTACGTTGTAAATGTCTACGAGCTCTGGTAACCACTTAACATCAGGTAGGCCTTGAGGTCGTCCACTCAAACATAGCAATTAAAAAAAAATGATAATTTCAAAAGACATACCGGTTTATCTTTTCCGCCGTAGACGAAAGCCAGTAGCGCAAATATTACGTGAAGCGACGCTGTGATCATGCTTCACGGTCGTTTCGTCAATAGTGATATAATGACCTCTTAGTGTCTTTATATCACATTAAGCGCCATGGTAAGTGTCGATTTTCTAGACGGCTAAGATTACCAATTAACACATAAACGAGCTCTGCGATAAAAGCCGTAATCAGGGCGGGAACTTCGGGCACGCTAATGTGTAAGCAGATAACCATCTATTACTTGAGTTCTCTACAAGTAAGTGTACTGTGGACAAAATTGAAGCTGCTAACGTTTTCGAACGATTGACAGAAATCCGCTTTGAATTTACTTAGTGGTAATTATTAATTAATTACAAAATACAAGAAAAAAAAGAACCGATGTAACGCGAAAAGAAAAACCAATGTGGTACGGTACACATGCTAAAAATTCAAAGTCAATACCTAAATAAACTATAACAGTCACACCGTTCTTCTTTATGTACTACACAGTGTAGATGAATACCACATACTTCCTTCTTAATCTAAAACTGAAGTAGTGACAGAAAGTTCGGTGATTTTTTCTCTCTCTAAGGTTGTGAGCGGCGGTTTTTCCTCCAGTCATTTTCCAACTTTTGAACAATCATTCATTGTTTTCGCTCGGAACAATGAAAGGGAGCTTACGTGTTTTTGTGTTGCCTCTATTGTTCTCGGCACAATAATAATTATAAAATTAATGTCATAATTTGCGGGTTCGCTAACGGGGTAGGAGTGAACCGCTTTCCGATATCATAACGATTATTAATGACTTAGTAGCTGTGAACATAATTTTGCTCTAGTTGTACACGATAAGAATATACCATAGGTATATGTTGTTGCTTTATTATTATAACTATGTATTGAAATTGTGGCAATATTACTAATTAAAACTTAAATTTCCCTTTTTAATTTCATAATCTAAAATGACTTTCCATCTTTGACTCAACTTAGATTAACTATCTTCCATAATTGTCACTAGACGATGACCGAGCTTTGCTCGGTTTTTTTTTAATAACGCCATCTTGTTGTGTCTTTAAAGCGGTTAGTTGCCTTCAATTAAGAAAAATTGTATTATTATTCGCCAATAGATGTCAGGAAGAGTTGATTATTGAAAACACGAATAAAACAACATTTTCTGAAAATAAATCGTAGCTAATCGATTTATCGCCCCCGAAATCCCCTGTATACTAAATTTTATGAAAATCGTTGGAGCCGTTTCCGAGATTCAGATTATATAAGTATATAATATTAATATACAATATAATTTATATACAAGAATTGCTCGTTTAAAGGTATAAGATTAAGTTTCCATATTTATGCATTAATATAAAAACAAATCGTCAAACAAGTACACGCGGCCTGCCAATCGGTAAACCACTCTTCTCTAATAAAAATGATTGCATAAACTTTTTATACGAGCACAGATATTTTGATAACGTGTTCAATCGACATGAAAAATCCATTAGTTGTGCTGAATCGGCAACTGGGCTCATAGGCGGCGCCAGTGGCCGTAGCTAAGCGGATTTCCTGCAAACCTGCCGAACGCGTACGTACTAACATGATTGTACTTGTTTATTGTGACTACTCGTGAAATACGAGACGCGTAAGCTGTTAATATACCTTGATAATATTTGGCAAAGCCTTTTTAAAACAACTTTACCTACTTATTACTACAACCTACCAGCAATCTAACCTACTACTTTTACGAATCATCAGGGGTTTGTGAGACGAAAACTATAAAGTATTCGAGGCGTCGGAAATAATATCATGAAAATAAAACGCTATTTCAAAGCGCCAAATTTCTTTTGCGACAACCGAAAAAAAGTATTACGCTTACTACTGAAACTTACCACTACTTCCCTGTATGAATTTTTACCTTTTTGATACCATTCCAAATTGATGGTGATATTATAAGCCCTCACGGGCAGATGGCGTATTGCTTATTTCGTCCGGAAAGCAATTAAGCTGTTGATTTTAAAGACAGGATTGTTTTTATTCCAACAAAATTGAAACGGCGTGCTCATACCGCATGGATGACCGTAGCATTCACATTGTAGTATCTATCAGCTCCAGTGAACGTTTCACATTATACGTATCCGTATCACAAGTAAGATGTGTGCATATCTACACAAAAATACATGAATAGATCGCAGCTCCATGGTTTTTAGGAAACGAGGACACGTCACCCAGATGTTTCTTCATCCAAAGCGGATTCACACAATACGAATTTCCATTCTTTAGCTACGTGTTCATGCTTGACCAGTAGGTACATAATCGAACATTATTTTTTGGTTACGCAAGCAGTTTACCGTAATTTTGATTTAAGATATTCTATACCCTGCAATTTTTAAATTGTGATTTATATCGCTACAAAACTGACAAGAGACTCATCATAAATATACTTTTAATGTGTGTATGTAAAAAAAATACGAGAAGTCATTAATTTCGAAAGGTATAAAATTTAAAGATGAGTACAGGCGTTAGGGGGAGACATCATTACCGCAATCAAAGCAGCTGAACCGCAGTACGGCTCGACCGCCCGACGGTTCCCGCTAACGACGAGAGCTCTCGATAAAAACTAAAAACACGTGCGAGCCCGAGGAAAGTTTTAATGAGTACACGGCTGCTACTCGAATCAGTATACCTGAATGTCTCTGTATACGTGAACAACGACTTTTTTTACCCAAGTGGAAGAACAGACGAACGTACAACCCATCTGCTTCTAAACGACTACTAGAGCCTATAAATACAATTTGAATATATATTTTTATATTCTTAAACGGGTCAACGAGCTCATGACGCACTTGGTTTAAGTGCTTATCGGAGCCCATAGACATCAAGAATTACTTCTAAGTCTCCGTTTTACAGTAGGTATAACTGCTGTTCCGCAATTCAAACCGAAATGCACACGAAACATTAGTGCTTCACAAGAGAAATGGGCATGGTGGTAGAAATAGGCATTCTGTCCTACTTTATAAACAAGACCAGCGTCAATTGATATTCATGACATTTGCAATTGCGTTGGAACAAAATTATTGCGGTAGCTTAATAGACAAGACATCTATGGGACTAGCCAAAGTTATCCAAGTGCTAACCGCGTTGTGGAAAGGGACACAAATGTATGGGACAAGCTAACGAAAAGTCACGTGGTAGCTCTTGAAGGATGCAAGGAAGGAGTTGTCGTTAACAAATGTACTAAGTTGGCCATTAATTGAGCCCAGACCATGGATACTGGTAATCCAGCTCGGGTCACGTTACAGTAATCAGTCGCTAACCACAAAACCAATAAGCCCATGAACGGCTCTTGATTTTACGATTAAACCACAAATCGGTATGCCTTGACTCCCCCTTATTTATTTAATGAAATGGATTTTATACATTGGAAGTCCTAAAAAATTACTAATAGTTTCAAGCCCAAAGCTTTGTGTCCTGGTCGCAAAGATAGGACCTGACTTGTCGCTGCCTGGCGTCGTGGCGTCGATGCTTGGCAGCGATGAGTCATGGAAGGCTATGCTCGACTTCTGCGAGTGCACCATCTCGCAGAAGGAGGCGGCGGGGCGAGTGAGGGAAAGCTCTCCTCACTACGCAGAAACCCGCCGCCGCCGAGCAGGGGGTCGGGACCGGGGTCGTATCCGTGACCTGGCCCCCTAAGAGCTAGGGGTCCCACCCGTTTTGTGCGGGGAGGGACCCAGACGTGGGGTGGCGTGCTCTGCACGCTCACCCGCAATAGGAAGCCGGGTGATGGTAGACCGCGTTCCCCCGACCGCTCTGGGGGAAGGTGTAACGCGGCGCCATCAAAGCGGGCTCTCGGCCCGCTGAACGAGGGAACCGGTGGTCGTGTCGCTGGCGGCCACCGGTCCGGCGTCCGTGGGACGGTGGGATGGATGTAATGTGCTCTGCGTCACCCCTGTCCCGCCGTTTCAATAGCCCCGACTGGGCTCCGGCCCGGTCCGAGGTAGGGCGCCGGTTGTGAGCGGCAGGAGTTTTTAGTGAGGTTCAACTCCCACATACCCCACCTGCCGCGCGGGTGGGGATCCGGCGATTTTCTCCTGTGGAA